CTCGCTGTTGTCGCCCTGTTGATGACGTCAGCGACGCGGTTTAATTGGACGCGCTTTAGTCGAGCGCGGTTTTGTCGTGCCACGCCTCTCTTGCTGTGGTTCCCTTCTCCCCCCAGAGTTCCAACTTACTGCTAATGAAATTATGTTCTTCCCAGGAATGAATGCTGGTGAGGTGTCCTGAGCAACGTCGGCAATCCCTTTCCGCGTCTTCCCATGCGCGCCGATGGGCGAAGTAGCGATAGCAGTGACCCTGGAACTTGAGCCACGTGTGGTCGCAGCCTTCTGTGTCTGAAAGGAAGAGAAAGCATCCAGTGGGGCGCAATTGAAAGGTCAGCTTTATCTTCTTTTTAACGAGCACGCCAATTTGCAACTAACAAGCGGAAGAGCTGTTGGAAGATATTATCACGCTGGGAAGTGGCCTGATCACTTACGGCATTTTCTGGGAAGTGAAACCAGAATAGGATGAAAAGAACTAATGACTCTCCCTGCATGAGTGCTAGAGAGGTTGCAGGTAGTCCTTAATTTGCAACCATCCTTTTAGTGACCATTCAAAATTACAACGGAACTAAAAGAAGTGTCTTATGGCTGGGTTTTGTACTGATGACCCGTGCAACATTACTAAGGTCATGTGATCAAATTTTGGGTGCTTTTGGTTATAAGCATATATCTATGATGATCACAGCACCCCAGGGCCATGTGATCACAACTTGTTTTTTTAAGAAAAAAAAACTTTATTGAGGATTTAAAACATTAAATACAAATACCTTTAAAAAGAGTTTTGTATAAGTCACAATCCCTTTTGACAGTACTAACATAACCATTTACTATTCAAATACATTTTTATACATTCCTAATTATTCTTATATCTTATACATCTATGTTTCTAAGCTGTACATTTCATGTTCCTATTATTTATCCACTGATACCAGTTTTCCCAAACTGTATGGTATTCTGAGTCTTCCTTGTCCCTTAACTCCAAGGTGAGTTCATCCATTTCTGCGCAATCAAGAATCTTTTGGATTATCAAACAGTCTGTCGGCATGGTATCACTTTTCCAACATTGCCAACATGCTCAGTAGCAGACCAGAGGTGGGTTCCTACAAGTTCGCACCTATTCGGTAGAACCGGTTCGTCAAATCTACCGAACCAGTTAGAAGAGGTTCCACCAGTGGACCCG